TACCTGGCGATGGTGATTGCGGCCTGTGTGCTGAACTTTCACAGGGCCCTTCCTCTTTTTGTGATCACCGTGGCTGCCATCTTCTTTGTGGTCTGGGATCACTTTATGGCCAAATATGAACATCGAATTGATGAGTTTCTATCTCCGGGCAGAAGGCTTCTGGACAGCCATTGGTTCTGGCTCAAGTGGTAAATGCAGTTAGTTCTCTTATTGCAATTGAGAGGGATGTTAGTTTTTTCCAACAATGTTCCAAAAATGTGCTCTGAAATTGCTTCCTCATTTATGAGATATTGTAGCTAGAAACAACCTAGGGGATAATCTGTTAAAATGCCTTCATTTTACAAACAGGAAATCAAGGCTCAGATAAGGTAATGACTCGTTTGAGGTGTGTCCAAATGTCCCTATAAACTGCCTTAATTTCAAGTGCTACTAAATGATAAAATGTTGTCCAAAACATGTGACAGTCCTGACTTGGGGAGTCCTGCTGTGGACTTCTTGGGAAGAAAAGCCTGTGAATTATTAAAACCAACTCTTTCCTGTAGGACCCAGTATCCTGCAGGTAACCACTTAGGGCTTTTCCCTCAAAAGTCTCTGTCTGTGGGAACTCCTCTCCCTCCAGGCGGCCCCACTGTGTAGGACCCAGGACCAGTCACACATCCTTGGCCAAGCAAACCAGGGTTGTGCAATCCCAGGACAGCACCCTTTCTAGCCCTGCCACTGAAGCCATGAGTCAGTCTTGTCATACCTGCAGACTCCCCAGAAATTCAGAACCCAGCCCAAAGTCCAACTTGGCTCACTGAGGCTCGGGTGAGGTCCTCCAATTGCAGAGAATGCATCTCAAGTTCTCCCTTAAAAGGAAGGAGGTAACACCTCACCCATCTCCCAACACAGAGGTGAGGACTCCCAGTAGATCTCTCTAAAAAATCACCAGGCTCCCCTCTCCAAACTTCCTTTCTCCTCTCTGATCCCTGTATATATCCCTGAACCAGCAAAGAGCCCCAGAGTTGTAGAGTGAGGGAGACACACTGCTTAATTTTTTGACTATTTGCCTTTATAGCCACAACCAAAGAAGGTCTGCTGCAATTTCTAGAAGCACCACTTCCTGGTGCCAGGGTGTGTTACTCTTGTCAATATTTTTTGTTTGGTAGTTTAAGCCTTATTAAGATTTTCCAGTTAGCACAGCAAATGATACCAGTGGCTCCTTTCTCTTAGGGTGATTTGGAGCTCCCTGGTGCTGGGGGTTATTTTCTGGCTGATCTTTGACACCGCCAAACTGGGCCAACAGCAGCTGGTGTCCTTCGGTGGGGTCATCATGTACATTATGCTGCTTTTTCTATTTTCCAAACACCCAACCAAAGTAAGTATGAAACTGATCTTT